TTTGACAAGGGATGACGGAAATTCGTTCCATAATACATCAAAAAGTTTTAGCTTTGAACATAAGATGACAATGGTATTGTGTATGTATGTGTATAGTGCATGTGCAAGGTGTGTACACACCCGGCAAGAAATTGTGCGACTAAGCTCTAAAGAGAGTATTCCGAGATTACTGTCAATCGGGTACATTTTGGCATTAATTAGTCGCAACTAGTCTCATACGGGTACTAATGGAGATCAATTAGTCCCCGACTCATATCTAAAGGGTACTATTAACGATTTAATGAGATGTACATACGCACTTAGTCAATGAAATTACTTGTGCGCCGTTGTACATACCATACCCATATATGTAAGTACATATAGACAGTTTCAGTGGCCGCCATAATCAAAATATTTTCAAACGTATTCATTCATATCTCTATGTTTCAAATATCTTGTGTATAAGATAACTAACTTTGACTTTTCAAACATATGGAATCCTCTTCAAAAGTATATTCAAACTAAACCCTTTTTAAATCTCTTTGGAGATTGTGCTACATATTTCAATCAACTGATGAAGTTGAATTTGACATGGGGCAACACTCTTATATATGTATATGTACTTTAGAGATAAAACCTTTTCAAAACAATTTCGATTGATCTGATGGCATTAACAAAAAATGCATTCGCGATTTATATATATAGATAATAGTAATAATACGTATTAGTAGTAGGAGTAGTAGTAGTTGTAGCAATGATAATAGTAATATTAATATTAATAACATTAAGAAACACTAAGAAACAGTATATAATATTTTCCTTCCTTTCTGTATACAGCTAGATAGTACTGACTATCACAAGCAACGTGGGGGTGTACTTGTAAAATGTCGTTTTTGCACAACTAAACTACAAGGATCATTTCAAGTGACTTCGAATTTCGTACGCCATTTACGGATAAAGCATCCTCAACAATTAGCAGAATATGAGCAATTTAAGTCTTACAGTTCAAGAAAAAGGCAATATAGCGATACCATATTTCAAAACCTTACAGTAAAAGTTATCGCGAATAACATGCTTCCAATATCTATTGTGGAAGATAAAACGTTTAGACAGTTTGTTACATTTTTGAATCCCCAAGCAAAATTAATGACTAGGACAACGGCTACAAAACGAATTGATGATTGTTATAAATCAATGATAGTAAAAATTAAAAATGAGCTGAAAAATCAATTGTATTTTTGTACTACCGCCGATGTGTGGTCTACCAAACATCGCAGTTTTTTTGGCTACACGTGCCATTGGCTATCAAATTCTTTCGAGAGGAAGTCTGTTGCACTGGCTTGTCACCGTTTTAAAGGGTCCCATTCTTACGACAAAATTAACGATATTATTATGGATATTCATGCTAACTTTGGACTAAATTGTAATAACGTAATAGCCACTATAACCGATAACGGATCTAATTTTATAAAAGCATTTAAAGAATTTGGAGTCGAGAACACTTCAGAAGAAGACGTATTTGAGTCAAGCGATTTTTCAAGTCATTTATATGAAAGTTGTCTTCCAAAGCACATTAAATGCGCGACGCATACCATTAATCTTTTGGCATCGAACGATTTTATTAGCATTTTGAAAAAACACCCTTCAATTTTTGAAAAACATCCCAGTAGAACTTGGGAGCATCGTACGATTGCTCGGTGAGTACTCCCTGGGGAGTATACGAATACTCCCCATTGCTCCCTATGCTTCTGTGTATAAGCATGTAATTTCGTATACTCCATTTAACATTGTATGTCCTAGGAAGGGGAGTAATCCCATTTACCTCCTAATCGAGCAATCGGGGAGCACACACAAAAATATCATCCCACAAACCTCCTAAAGGAGCAATACGGGAGTACTCCCATAAAAGCCTCCCCTATACCTCCCAAAAAGACAACAAGGGAGTGCACATAGAAATACATCCTATATTCCTCCCAAACGAGCAATAAGTGAGTACTCCCTTGGAGGCATCCCGAAAGCCTCTTGTACGAGTAATAAAAGAGCTTTTCATTGCCCCACACAATAGCTAGACGATTTTGCTATTTACGCAATACATTTATTTAATTTTTTAAACAAATGTTTGTACACAATATTAAAAGATCTTAACTGATACCTATAAGTACGAGATCAGACAAAACATAAATAATACTTATTACTTGTACATTATTGATTAATTTTGGAGTTGCTGTTGCGAACAAATGCATTAAAAGTAAAACAGAATAATAATAAAACGGTAAGATAACTACAAGATGTCCTGGGTTTCAGGGATGCTTGGGTATTCAGGAGTTCACGCAAGTAGGGAGTGTATGAAACTTTCTTGTTTTAATGTGTAGGTGACTTTGCCCATCCGATATCTTTGTCACCCAGTAAAAGATCTGGACCGGCTTGATATGAACGTTAAAACCACGGAGTCATGCGTAAGTGCTGACACTCCTAATAATTTGCCAAATCTGAAAAGTATTTAGCGGTATCTAATACAATATTTATTAAAATTAAACAAAAGTTGCAATACATACCGACGCACCTTCATTTAAATGTGTCCTATCGACATTAAATTATTGCATCCTCCTTATATTGTTTCTATATGAAATATTTTCTGTAGTTTTCCTTATGATAATTTTTCCAATAACACAAAAATTCTTTTGAACTAGGTGCCTATAGCTCCCCCATAAATCAAAAGGAATACTCCTGGATTGCTCTCTTAGGAGACATCGCTTTTTGCTCGTAAGCGAGAAATAACGGAGTACAAAACCGACAAATCTCAGTTATAGCTCCAAAATCATTCCTCAGCGAGTATTCTTTTATTGCCCACTTGGGAGATCTCCTGTTTGGCTCCTAAACGAGTAATAAAAGAGTACAAAGTCGACAAAAATCGTTTATTGCTCCAAAATCATGCCTCTGGGAGTATTCGTTTGTTGCTCGCTTAGGAGATCTCCTATTCGACTCCTAAGCGAGTTATAAAGGAGGTCAAAACCGACAAATCTCTCTTATTGCTTCGAAATCAGGCCAAAGGGAGTACTCTTTTATTCCTCACGTTGGGAGATCTCCCTTCAAGTTCTAGTGGGATAATGCTGTAAGTTTTTATATACATACACACATACAGTGTTACACAAAAAAACTGTTACTACTATTAAGTGGCTCTGGTCTCTAATCCTTGTATAATCCATATCCATCCCTTACTAAAGGAAGCAGTAAGGATTGCTAAGGTAGTTACAAAAGATTAGACATGGATTCAACAAGGATTAGAGACATGAGCCGCTTAACAGTAGTAACCGTTTTTTTTTTTAATTTGGAATTGTGTCGTTATTGCACAGGAACATGGATATGTTTTTAATGCTGCATTCCACCGCGAGCTTTAAATTCCGTTCGAAAAAAGAAAATATTAGAGTAACAATCGTACAAATGTATGCGTCTCTCTACTAAACCTTCAAATTTCTATATTTTGGTATTTTTAAATAGATAATATCGAAGTGTTCCAGTTTATGGAGCAAAGTAAATCGACCAAAAATCTCAGAACAAATAAAAGCAATTCTGGGAGGTCAGCTAAAATACCCGGTAGTGACTAGATGGAACTCGCTATACGACTCCCTAAGATCGTTACGCTCGCATAAGCAAAAAATTAATGATCTATGCGAAACATTCCAAATAAATAAGTTTTACGAAAATGAATTCGATTACTTAGATGAGTATATGGAGGTATTAAAGCCTTTAGGTGATGCAGTTGATTTTTTGCAAGGCGATAAAAAAATGGTATATGGTTACCTTTTGCCGACGCTCGCAACTATTTTTACAAAGTACAATAATTTAATAAAAGCTGAAAGACTCGTATATTTTTGCCAAATAGTTTCCTCTTTGACTGACGCGATAAAAGAAAGATTTAAGAAATACTTCGAACTTAAGGAAGATGTGAGTGATGCTATAACTGCCTCTGCATTATGCCCCGATGTGAAACTTCAATGGGTTAATGCTCTTAATCCAGAATTCAGCGACGCGAAAGTAGCGGAATTGAGCAATATGGTCAGAAAAATTATTTCAACTGAGTGTGCCAAGGATATAATTCCTACAACTGTTAGCATATGTGAACGTGCAAACTTTTTCGACTTTGGACGCAAAAGTAATTAAGATTTATGTTTAATACTAGGTCTCCATTGTGATATTTAATGAAGATTTAGCCCTATGATGAGATTTGAGGTTAAATCTTTTGAGATTTACCATATTAAATTAAATCTCGAAAGGCAGTAGATTTAAGTTAAATCTTCGTCAAATCTTCAATAATATTGATCAATAAGTACAATTTGTTGGATGTGGCAACCACAAATTCACATGCCATAAGTCAAATGACATTTGTGTTTTCAATATACAGTTGAGGACATTGAAATCTAGCCTATCATAAAAACATGAATTTTCGTATTTTTAGGGTTTTTTGTTAGTTTGGGAGGAAAATTAGTAATACATATTTACATAACTTTGGTTGTAATAAATTAAGAAAATATTAATTAAAAACTAAAAATTTAGAAGAAATGTTTTATAGTAATATCATGCAGAGTCTTCTCCGCTTTCTATAAGTCATTTACGCGCTGCGACAAAAAATTTATAAATTTCGGTAATGGTTCTGTTCCGATAACATTGCACCGAACATCCGCTATAACTCAGTTCGTATTCATGATATGCCAAAGGCCCACGATTGGATTTTCGGTTCCCTCCTATGAATAAGAGAGTTCTACACAAATTTTTCTTTCCGAAAATGTTTTTTACCGTTTTGATAATTTTTTTTTAAATTCGGGAAAATGATTCGGAATATGGTACCATTCTTTACACTTTCTAAACTATATATTATACATACATATTTACCACGGATTAAAACCCAATAATATTCAGAATTCATATAATGAAATTCCGCTTGGTACCTTCCTTTTATCCGTCTGCATATCAATGTCCGCAACTGTATTTATAAAATCATACATAAGCAAACGTCAAATATTTAAAAATGTGAACGTCAAACATATCTCGTTGTGGTAATGGAGACGGTTGTGATTTAGCAACTGGATTTATTAAATCTTAATGGATAAATCTCTCAATGGAGACATAGTATAAGATAGATGCATCAAATATTATAAACTGTCATAACATTATCACAAATGATTTTATTTCTGCAACAATTTTAGATGAAGTCACGCCGTCTGCTAATGTTATTAGTCAGTCGCAAAGAGAATACTGCAATTATATCTCAGACCCAAGCACTGATATTGAAATGCTATGCA